TCACCGGTGACCTAACTCGTCTATTACTCATTTTTACTAAAACTCAAACTAACCAAACACATGCATAAATGTTATTATTTTAGTTTGTAGAGCATGCATAAGTTATTACACAAACAAACTTTCATGCCCTTACCTTCATCACAACATTACTTTTATAGCACTAGTCCACTAGTAAACACAAACAATAACAAACACCTTTCCATTCGCAAAACTCAACTAAACAAACACAGATGACAAACGATCTAGACACAGTAGAGAAGTAATCAGCAACGCACAGACCAAGAGCAAACTCAAACTATGTAACTTCGTTGGTTATAGTCTCATACCGTATAAAATCGTCTGCAAACAGCTTCGTTATAGTCTGCAAATAATCCGAGTCGAATTTGGAGGGGTTTGGAAAGCATATAAGGCCAGTAAGTTAGAAAACATTGACGTGCTTTATAACGCACGTCGGCAATTTTCGCCCGATAGCCAACGAGCGTTATTGCGCACGTCGGCCATTTTAGCACAAACCCCGACGTGCGCATTTGCGCTCGTCGGCAGCAAAAGGGTTAAGAACCATGCATTTTATTTTCTATAGAAAATGCATTCTTTAACCAAAAAACCTTAAAATATGCACTATGTTATTTTGGAACCGAACAAATCTATTCTAAAGTATAAATGTTTATTGAGAGTTGGATGTTGTAGGTACACGGCACCAGGAAGACCTGCATTAGAACTTGTATCAAGAACATGATCATGGAGGGAGGACCATGGAGCATGTGGCGGGGCAATGGTATCAACGTACTCAAGATCGCCCCGGAGAGCGCCCTCAAGTTCATGGCGTACGAGCAAGTGAAGAAGTTCATCCGTAACAACAGCAACAACAAGGAGTTGACTATTCACCAGAGGTTCATGGCTGGCTCGGTGGCCGGAGGCTTCAGTCAGACCGTCATCTACCCGTTGGAGGTTTGTTTCTGAACTTTTAGCGTTGACTATTGATAGAAGATTGCATAGATGCATAGCGTAACGCTATTTTGTATCGTGTCGGCAAGCTGTGACGCCGGGCTGCATGTTCAACTCGACTGATCGCTATGGCTGAGGGAACACTCTCCCCACCCTTTCTCTCAAATCCTTGGAAGAGTATCATCTAAATTTCAATCATCACTCAAACCAGCAAAAATGGATAATTCCTACAGTAAATTATATGTATAGTTGACTTTAGAAATATGTCAGGCTAAATCAGCTAAAAAATAGGGGAACCCACACGGGTCGCCCCGACATCTCAGAATTTAATAATGTTACGCTCGGGGCCTCGCCCCGAAACATTTCCTACATGTAGGATCACCACGTTTCCCCAGAATGATTTCCATTGTTATCGGTAAAATTTCACAGTAGATTCCAACTCAGTAAACTCAATTTTAAACCCATTCATTTACTCAGCTATTTTAAAAATGTCAAGCAATATACCAATGTCAGTTCTCTAGCTATTTTGGAAGGGTATTTATTAGGTAATTAGACAAATTAGTATAAATCAAAGCTGGCTAGGTAAGCTCTCTGGTCAGGGTAAAAGATCCCTCTGGTCCCCAGCAATCTTTCAGTTTAGCATAAATTAGTTTGGTAGCAGACTCAGTAAACTCAAATCATTCAATCAGTAATATATTCACAAATCATCCCAACGGCTATAAGAGACATTCTATCCCCATTTTTTGCAAATTTTTTATATCAACCCAGTAGCCTGGATCATACAGCAGGAGGTTTTTTTGCTCATGATTTCTCCTCCTGTACCATTTCAATAAGAGTATAAATATAATCATATATTTTACATAGCAGACTCCTCTATGTATGATGTTGATTGTTAGAACATTAAGCTGTTTGAATGTATAGATAGTATCAATTAAAGTGACAAGCGGGATGAGCGTGCGCTCAAGAACCCTTCCCCCTCCACTGTGGCATTTGTGCAGTCATCTCAATAATTATTTGCTGTTGTATAACTTGAATATCACTAGTGTCTAGTGTTGTGACCCTCAGTGTTATTGGGAGCCTCTCCCATCCTTCCACACTCCATCCTTATTGAAAAAATCTTTACTTGGAAATAGAGTTCTATTCTTTACAAACTTTTACTGATATTTATGACAAAAGACAGGCTACTTTACCCAATTACACCTAGCACGAATTATATAATTTTTCATATTGCACTGTGATCTGTACTCTTATTCAATAATTGTTTTAGGTGTTGAAAACTCGCTTAGCATTACGGAAGACAGGCGAGTACAAGAGCATCATGGATGCAGCCAAGAAGATATTCAAGCATGAAGGATTGAAGAGCTTCTACAGAGGTTATATACCCAACATGTTTGGAATTATTCCTTACGCGGGAATCGATTTGGCTTGTTATGAGGTAAGATCATTACAAGACTGGTACATACCATACAAATAATTAGGTAGAAAATTATTGTATACAAGTGATAGGTTGTTGATTTAGTAACATTCTGAGTTCATTGTCTTACACTGCCATGTTCTTTGAATTTTGTTAGCTATAGCTGCAGCAAAGGCACTAAAGATCAAATTGAACCAACACGCCAACTTTTTAATGAAGCAAAATCAAAAGGACTATTTTTAAATTACAGCATATCATCTATGTCACATCCATCAAATAACTCTAAAAAACTAAGAGAAGAGAAATAATTTTGTCTGTAGCACACTCTTTGTGGTTTAATCAACTATATTTTATTTTATTAAAAAATTAGCTCCGTTTGTTTTATACATATAGGTTGCGTACTACAAAATCAAAAAGTTAATGCTGAAACTCAATTGTGTGTTTTAGACGCTGAAGAACAACTATCTGAAGAAGCATTTGGACGAAACACCGAGTCCGTTGTTGTTGTTGGCTTGTGGGACGTGTTCCAGCACGTGTGGACAGGTCTGCAGCTACCCGCTGGCGCTCATCAGGACTAGGATGCAAGCTACTCGTGAGTTTATAAATATTTAAATAACTATTTTTATTTTTTGAAGTTGCGTTAGTACAGCTGTTGGAAAAGAAAATGCACTGCACATTTTCAATCATTACTAGTTAGAACTTAGGTGGTAAGGTTGTTGCTTTTTGATCTTATAATCAGAGGTCTTTCGCTCAGTACGCATCCAGTCACGGTCCTTTGCTGTAAACATTAAAAATATGGCAATTAATTTCAATTGGGCCAGAGAATCATTAAGTTTTGCTTGTTTGACAGTATAGTTTGATTCACATGTTGTGTGTTTCAGCCAACAACAAACACACGATGGTCACTCAGTTCAAGGAGATTGTACACAGCGAGGGGCTGGTAGGATTGTACCGAGGCATCACCTTGAATCTCCTCAAGGTCGCGCCAGCTGTCAGCATCAGCTACATCGTCTACGAGCATTGTCGTCAGACGCTCGGCGTCAACATGACGTGACTTGTCTGCCGTCTCGAGCATCCTGTGATCCACGCATTAGGCTGTTTTCATTTTAAGCATCTTTCAAATTATCCGGCCGGAGTTTGCGATTCGTAATGTCTAGCGGTCGGCGATCCCGATATTTTCTAAACTTCTTGGAGACTAGGAGTAGCTTACGTACTTATCGCAGTGTTTTTCGAAGCTTAAGTATATCCTTCCCGGCTGCGACGTGTTTTAATTACGCGACAAACGTTTTTAATCCAGAATGTCGAGAGGAATACAGGGAGAGAATATTTATTTTAGCTGTAAGTTTTGTTTTTATTACTTAAAACTAGATTTTTTCGGCGTTTGTAAATAATTAGTGGTTTTTTAAATTGATAATTTATTGTTAACGTTATTAAATAATTTTGTACAGTATTCAAGGGCTCACCATTCCTCGTTTGAAGAAAAGACGTTTTTGTTCTTCTAGAGTCTAGTCTTTTGTGAATGTGCTCTCCGTCTATTTATAATTTTTTATATTCGTGTGTTGTTGGAATCATACTTTGAAAAAGTTCTATAGGTGATAAAATTCCATAAAAGGGTTGTTGCTAACTTCCAGCTGCATTCACAAATCACTGGTGTTTTTATTTTCATACAAATCCAACATGAGTGGAACTCGGTTTGTTTGTCTAGGTTTATAAGTAAAAGTTTATATTTGATTTTGTCGTTTTTGAAAGAGGGTGGAACTCACAAAGCAATGTTTACAGCACTTTCAGTATTATGCTTTGGCCCACTTTTAAACTCTCTGCATTTTACATGTAACCAAAAAAATATAATTTATTGTTTGTGTTTACTGGTATTTTCATGTCTTTTTCTAGGTCATATAATATTTAATGTGAATGACCTGTCCATTTACCATATACTATGATCTGTGTTGTTAAAAAATATTACAACTGTTTAAAACTCAAATATACCAAACTTAAAAGTTCATTGAATGGTATTGTTTCTTATTACCTTGGAATTCTAATTCTAATACTAGAATTTAGAATTAAGTTTTAAATACATAGTTGTGTGCATTTATTTTCTTTTGAGTCATTTTTGATCTAGTATAGAATCCATACGGTTTTCTAATTTTTTAGTTTCTGTCTCATAGTCTCAACATTATCGTGTTCCCGTGAGTTGTATGTCATTTTGTTAATGACTAATAGAAGGAACAGCCATGGCCGCGGCGAGAGGAAAGTGGCAACAGCGCTATCCCCTCAGACCAAAACAGCTGTTGCACTAATTTATAATTGAATTTTTTTGTCCTAGGACACTAGGCACAAGCCCGGGATTGTTTTTCACATTACTTCAGGCTAGACCAAGGGGTTGCGGCATTATCACTTTCAGTTAGATAAAATCCATTGGCGATTTGGCGGGATTTGAACCCGGGACTTCAGGAGGAATTCAGTAACCTAAGACAAGCCTGAACTGATTTTATTCATGTCAAACATTCAAACCAATCAGTTTGAACCGATAACTTTTTTATTTCAAATAATTAGGTTTATTCACCATTGCAATCTAATCCATCTTGATCCCAAAAAGTGCATCTCCTGAAATAAAACTGAAAGGTAAAGAAATCACAAGCAATAAAAAGTAATAAAATTTACTTCACCACTTTGTATACAAATTCGTTGGACTAAACTACTAATACTTATTTCTAACTTTAAAGATCACCAGCTTACTTACGACTAATCTTACAACCTCTACTTTGGTTAGACCTATCTAAATTATCACGAATATCAGTCACAGCACTCAGATGCCAAACAACATTATCTTATGATCCGGAGAGCCAAAGACGACGTTCCCCAGCTTCACCTTGGTAGCTTCAGGCAGCAGCACCTGCAATCATTAGTGCCGACGTTACAAATCATAAAGTGCACAGTGATCGAATTTACATACAATATATATTGACATTTGGAAGTTGTTTCTCGGTGTACGTTTTTCACCGAAGCCAAATTCAATTTTTACAAGCTGTTTAAATCAATTTTAGAAATTCATTTCAATATGCAATTTAACTCTCTCCCTTCACTTCAGAATGTCAAATTGTGTTTTTGTGACCAAATTAATGATGACATTCTGAATAAAACAAAGAACCAAAAAAAGGTTGGAATTATCAGGATCTCTTTTCTATATAATATAAAAGAATGTATTTTACAAAAGTTTAAGCTATTTTAGAGGTTAAGATTGCTGAGGATAGAGATTGGCTACTTTAAAAAAATTGGTCAAGTTAGTTAGGATTTAGTTAGACTAACTTTGTATCATTTTTATTGTCTGTGCCTTGTAAGTTTTGTTGTTATGTTTATTAAACTTGTATTTATATGAGCACATCCAACATTTCCGTAGTTGTTAAGTTTGATCTGACTTGTACTGATAACACATTTTGTGACTGAGAAACTCTTGTTACTAGGTTTTTATTTACTATATTATTTTTCTACTCCTATAAAAATATAATTTTCCATTTTTACTTATAATTTCCATAATCATTAAACAAATATTTCTAAATCAGAGTCTTTTAAGGTACTTTAAGATGCAAACTGCCACTTACATTGTCAATGACGTGTACCAGTCCATCAGTGGCGATGTTGTCACACTTCTCCGCAGTCGCGGTGCCGAAGACAACTCGGTTTCTGCGGTCTCTGTTCACCTCCAGCTTCTTACCCTCCAAGGTCCGCACGGAGTTTGTGAACGGCCAGGGCACTGGGGTTATGGAAGCGCAGCAAACTGATTCTGTAGAAACAATGTGACAGGTCAATTAGGCACACAGCTGATTCTTCTGTCCTGCAAAAATCTCTGATGTGTTGATAAGATTAATCAATATTTTTTTAAGTAGTAGCACAGAGAAGTAAGGTACAAACTTGCTTTTGGGACGACAGTGCTCTTTTAGCTCTAGTATGTGCCGGAAATAGATTTGTGACGAGCAAGGAAGAGCCCTAGTGGCAAGCACTGTGGAAATTCCTGTCGCACAGGGTCTTCCTCCACTGTGAGCATTGTAGTACATGAGTACAAGGAGTTTATATTTTTTATAGTTTTCTCTATACCTTACCCTTGCAAAACAAAAATCAGGTTATACAAAACAGAAATTCGACCAGTTCTCCTATACAGTTCAGAAACATGGAAAATAAATAAGAAAGATGAAAAGAAACTAATTGTACCTATATAAATAAAGTAGGGTAAAGTTTATTGACCTATATGTAATCAAGGGGAATGGGGAAGAAGACACAATAAGGAGATGGGCCAACTTTACAACAGCGTAGATATAGATGGGAAATTAAGTGCCGAAGAATCAGATGGGCCGTATGAAGATGGGACGAAGAATGCAGACTGAGAAGAGTATTAGAGGGTAATGCTGTTGGAAGGCGAACTCGAGGAAGACCAAAACAATGAAAATAGCGATGGTGGAAACAAGTAAAAGCAGACGTGGATAGGATTGGAGCAGTAGAAGAAGATGCAGAGGACCGGAGCGAAGATTTGTTGGTGCGGCCTTTAACTACCTCCGATATGAATGGCCCTGGGAGTAAGTAAGTAAGTATCCCTTACTTCACTGTGAAAACATCCTCTCCATAGGAACTGTACAAAACAATGTTAAAATTACCTTCCAAGTATATTAAATCTATAAGCAGTATAATCTATAGTAATATCTATGACTTGCCTCCCAACAGGTGTCTGCGCAACACCTCAGTAGCGTACTTCTTATCAGTGAGCAGTTTGTTCAGCAAGTCCTCGTCCAGTTTGTTGAAAGCATCGTCAGAGGGGGCTAGCAGAGTGAACCCTTCAGAGAGCAACTCCGACCTTGTCTTTTCATCCAGGTCTTTCTCCAGTTCTGTACCCTGTGGGTGAAATGCATACAAGTTAGTCATTTTGGAGGAAAACGATTTTGGCTTAGGATGAATACAAACCATAAAAGAGGCTTCAGAAGAAAGTGGTTGAATGCACCTGCATAAACTTTCAACTTCTTCTGAAGAAGCCCTTTTTAGGGAAAAAATATTTTAAGTTCTATGTTTTGTAAACTTTTTTTTAAATGCTTTTATCTACCTGGAACTTTTTTCTTGGATAATGTTAGTTGTGTTTATTTTACATCAACTGTCTCAGTAAGAAAAAGTAAAGAAAGAAATATCTGGTTCATTCAAAACTGTTTTCTTGGCGTTCACAATTAGCTACCATCAACCAAAGTATACTTCAGTTTAAGTAGATAACCTACCTCTATGACTCTCCTCAGAACAGACAGTTCAGGATTATCATTGACTAGTTGTAGTACTGTGTTGTTGGGCGGCAGGAGCAGACGTGTGACCTCATGGGCGACCGCGTGACACGCCTTGCCGTCCATCCGAGCCAGAGGAGCGCACTGCACTGCGGCGCGCGGCTCCACACCACTGAACAAGGCGTTCTGCAAAACATATCTTGTGTTACATGCTTTGCTAAGCTCATGGTAAATCTTGTATCATTAAAGCAAGGAGATTGGAGACTGTCTTAGATTAGGCCTGATGACAATCAAACTGTTTATTTTCCAGTGAACACAGAAATAGCTAGACAACCCTGACAAAATTGAATCCTCAAACATTTTCTACTTAGTACTCAAGGACACCAAGTAAAATTTAACAACCGTTATAAGAAAGATCCCCAAACCTACCGGATTGTACATAGTGACCCTCAATGTGCCACCCTGCCTGGTTCGCAGCTCCGCGTGATGTTTGAGATCACACGAGGGCGCTCGTTCACTGATGTGGTACAGCAGCACGCGGCGCAGCGCGTCAGTGTCCAGACTGTCCAACATGGCCGCTGTCGCCTCGTCACTCAGCGCACTCTCGGTAGGGACGAACACTGTGATGTTCTCCTGTCTGTTCATCTCCTCCAGTAACCCTGCACGGTCTAGGAGACTGAGGAAGGTTGTGTGGTTGGACGAGGCGAGTAGGTCGCTCAGCGGCTTGGCTGTAGACAACGGTTGATTTAGTGATTAAACTTTAATATACAACACAGTTGGCTTCTTCAGCTAGTCACTAAAGGTGAGATGGTGATAGAATGTGCCAAAGTTCTAAAATCCTTAGTAAAATGTCCTTGCTATAACTAACATTAGAAATTAAAAGATAAAAAGTCAGATTGTTAGGTAGCTAATTTGGAGTATGTCCTCAGGTTTAGTGTAGTGTCACAGGACGTCTCAATGAAAAAATCTACTTCAGACACATTATTGGACATCAGATAGAGCAAGTCATTATTAAATGAGCCACTGACTGTTAGCACTTTCATCAAAATTAATTTCCCGTCTTCTAGTTTTCTATACTTTGATTGTTCCCGTGAAATAAGGGATACTATATATCAACCGTTATAAGAACCGTCCAGTTTGTTGGTCAATAAGTTTGTGTTTTGGATAGTAATCAGCCAACTTTGTTGGTGGCTAAATTCAACTTTGTCAATTTATTTAAAAACTATCTACATTTACATGGAAATGGTATGTCATTTACTCCCTAGTCAAAGACTGTATACTGTACAGTGTGTTTCAATACACGTGCAATTCACACTCAAATTACACTATCTAATGTCCCCCAACTCTCTCTTCTACTTACCAGACTTAGGAGTGAGAACTTTGTCCAACATGTGCACAACACCGTTGGAAGCCACAATATCCTCCTGTACGACACGTCCCCGCTCGTCAACCATCATCTGGTCGTCGTCGTTGCGCGAGATGCGCACCAACTCTCCGTCCACATCAGCTGTCGTGAGTCTACCCTCAGTGGATGGTGCGGAACACAGCGTCAGTGGTAGGATGTGATGACGAAGCACCTCTGTAAACATAATCTTAGATCAATTTATACAAGTCAACTAGGGATTGTCATTGATGCAAGTTAACAGCATATATGGAGGGGTTAGTTGGTAGTTTTGCAAAGGGGGTAAACTGGCTTACTTGACTGATAAATGTGTAGGTCTTGGCACAAAGAATTACAAACACAAAACATTCAATATTCAGTAAAAAATACCTTTGTCAAGTATCAGTCTACCTTTAACTTTCCATGGCAGATATCTTCATTCCTTGAATATTGGGCATTAAAAATATAATGACAACATTGTAACTTACCAATAATATATTTGTTTTCTTTCAGGATAAGAAGGCTGTCATCCCTATTTTCAAAAACAAAAAAATGAGTAGTTTTCATGAGTTAGTTGATTGCGAGGTTGATGACAGGAACTGATCTAAAACTATAGATGGTACCATTAACGACTATACGTACTGTCAATGCAGGCCTCGCCACGAGAGTATTTGTCCTTCAGTCCGCCCAGTTTGTTCCAAGCCTCGTTGTTAGGGGCAAACACCGTAACAGCCGTAGAGTTCTCCAGCCTTTCCCATAACCCTTGCTGCTGCAGGACTGGAACAAACGTTAAGCTTATATTGGTTGGAAAAAATTATGTAATAAATTGAATTGTAATTATATGGTGGTAGTGAATTAACTAAAGATGTTTGATAGTATGTTATAGACACTTTTTGCTGTGTTATTTTCACTTTCCAAAACTTGCAGATTGGTAGCACAAACCTTGTTCTAAATCTTTTGACAGTAGCACACATACAACACTAAACCTCTCGCTCTTATTATACCAATCCAGAGAATTTTGTCACGATTGTTTGGGTAGTCGAGTGGTTATAGTGATTGCCTTCGAATCTGATGGTCGTTGGTTTTATTCCAATAGAAGTTTGACTAATCCTTTATACAAAATGTAGACACAGAAAATAAACAGAAAAATATATAAAAAAAGTGGAACCAAAAAAACTTATAAAAAATACGACCCTCACATTGTTTGAACTGAGAGAACTGTGGCTGTGACAACACGTCGGTGACTGTCTGCGTGACAGGTTGCAGCACGCGGTCGAGCGTGTGTACGCGTGCGTGAGTGGCGTAGTTGTCCGATGACCTCAGTCTTGCGCAGTTCACTGTGATGACTGCGTCCTCGCGGCCCGGGTAGATGTTGACTCTCAGCGGAGTCTCGTTGTAGAGACTGTTGAGAACCTGGTGCAAGTAAAATTTACTATAATTCTTGTTCAAGTTTATTTGTTATTTTATTTCAATATCTAACAGCAAATGCGCTTAGGAAGTTGCAACAATGTAATATTGAGAAAATATTAGCCTTCCAGCTAGAAGTAGAGAGTTAGATCGTCCAACTTCCATTGTAAAAGTGTCTGATTGTTCCTGAGAAAAATTAAAACATTTTAAAGATCTGATCCTGGACATTTAGTTATGTCTTATCATTCACCTACACCTTCATCTCCATTCAAATTGAATCAATAATATCTGAAGACATATATTTTTATTCAGGGTTTGCGAAGCAACAAAAAATTGAAGCAACAATTTGATTCAAAAGATTTTTTATTTAATTCTATGCAACTCGATTCGAAGCAATAATGCATTTTTCTATTCATACTTGTCAATAGTGTGAATTAACAATAATTAAAATTCACCACATTTGTATGATGCAAATTTTTTTGATGAATTAGGCCTATTCATACATGACAATATACATGAACTTTAGGTGTATATTATTTTTTCAGTCATATAGACGAACCTGTATTGCTGGAAATTTCAGTGAGCTGTTTTACTTGCCTATTTCATAATTTTTACTTTCAGAATCATATTGTTAAGCATGTTACCTATTTTATAACATTGATTTTACAAATAAAGATATGTTTTGGTGTAACATCAATCTTACTAGTTAAGTATCAAGTAACAATTTTTCAGACTTGTGTTATTTTTTGAATGATTTTTGAGTCACTTGGTTTTGCTATGTTTACATTAGTAAAATAAAACATGTCTCACACTGCTTGCACTTAAAAAAACGTCTCATGATTTGCATGTCAAAACAAAAAATTAAAGCAATATTTACAGGCAAAGAATTAGTTAAATAAGAATGCCTTCGCAAAGGAAATGCAACAACAATGCACTCCTGTATTGTGGGTATTGCATTGACTTTCTGCAGGCGTTTTTCGTATGTACACTGACTCCCTCAAGAATCAAATTCTTTTTTGACAACCACTTCAAATCGAATTGAATCTAATCGGAATTTCAATGCATCAGACACTACTAAATTTTATCATTTGTGTATAAAGTAGTGGCTGAAAGGGTTTTGGCCACTGCCAAAAATTGAAATTAGTTTATTAACGAAACACAAACATTTGATATTGTATAATCTCTCTGACTTTATCTAGCAATGTCTTCATCGATCTGGTTCCTTGACCACTTCCTTACAAAGTGTGTCTCTTAATCTGTCCAACTTCATCTGGAAAGCCTAAGAGATGAAAATAAAATTGCTGTCTAAAAACTCCCAAAAAGAAGATTTTAATTTAATCTTTTTTATCGCTTATTTTTCAAAATAACTAAGATATTTATTTCTATATAAAGATTTGTAACGGTTTAGTTAAAAACAGAGAGTGAAAATCTCGATCAAACTAAAGTGTAAACAACAACCCATATATTTACACTTTAAGAGTGCTACTTTTCAATCAGCCTTCATTTCCACAGTAGAACCTGACACTAACTAGCATAACCACTGAAATTACAGGTATTGAATCAATTAATTATTATAGGCTACACTGTAATGTTGTAGCTATCTCTAATACAACTTCCATGAACACATGATTTTCGGTACAATTACCATCTCATTGGTGAAGTCATCTACATCCATCAGTCCGTCGGTCATGTGCGCCATCGCTACGTCACTGGCGCTGAGACTGCTTCGTACATCGGTTGGGCTAGCTGTCACCTCCCCCCACTCTTCTACTGCTCGCCTTTGACGGATCTGGTTCTGAAAACGTTGAGATGGTCAATCAGAATTTGTTTACGTATTTTATCAATTTCAAATTTTAGTTTTACATCTTTAAAATAATGTCAAATTGTTTATTGAAACTCAATAATTCATTGCTATTCTGTGCATAACTGTCATATAGTTTCATTACTCTCTCCTCGTAAACTTAGAATTTACATTTTCTTCTTTGTTACAGATAGAAAATTATGGAACTATGACACAGAAAGATAGAATTTATTACTCAAAGAAGGCATGAGAGAACACATAACATTCAAGGAGTTGAAAAAAATACCAAAGGAAAAGAATTTGGAAAAATCAAGTTAACGGAAAGAGAAAAGTAAGAGCGATACTGGAAGAATAAAAGAAATTTATATTCGAACAATAATTCCAGTTTATAGGTAAAATATTTATTACCTCAGTGTCCTTTTTTCCGATAAAGCATTACAAAATACTAACCGAATCCTTTTTCTCTTTATAGCTCTTCATAGCCTCGTCGACGGGGGCGAAGATGGTCACATTCTTGTCCGCCACAGCCTTCATGATGTCGTTGGAGGTCAGCATCTCTGCAAACTGCTTACTATCCACTGCCTCCATGAGTGTGATCGGGTCTTTCAACTCAACTGCATAAAAAATATATGTTTATAATGTTCATATTTCATGTACGAGGTCTTGGTTGTATAATATTGAATATTCACGCTCTTTTACTTTGGCTGGAACTTGATTATGATAAAATTATTCATAAATATGTAAAGTGTATTTTTACTATAAGAGAACTTTTGTCTAGCAATTTCATATTAACTGGAAATAATTTTGGATACAATTTATTTTGAGATTGTACTACCCAAAAGAATTCACACAAGAAGTTGCTAATCATTGTGGATATTTAATAGGTGCTAAAGTAATCAAAGCAAGAACAGGCGTGTATTTTGATTTTACAACAAATTGTATAATTTTCTGGATAATTTTGTAACCCTCTTTACTTGAATTAGGTTTTAAGTATTAAGTAAATGGGAGTGCTATAGTTGGTGTGCAAATTGAAGCCTAATAAGGCATGAAGGGGTTCGGCCCCAGTATAGGGACAACCGGTTTCCAGTTTTCTGTTTTCATGGATACATTATAATTGAAACAGATTGAATATTGTCTGACAAAGATACACATACATACATCAGCTGTTATTAAAATTTTTTTTGTAATCTGTAATAGTGATGCAGGCCAAAGCCATAGTCTCCTCTAATGGCTGCGGATAGATATAAAAGTGGTAACGCAGCAGACCCAGCGTATTGTTGCGCTAATTTATAATGGAGCGTATGTACAATGTGTATGTTTACAAAAGTTGGTTATTCCTGCTATTGCCATGGTAATAGGCATGCCGATGGAACGTTGCTACACACCAACGCCGCCTTAGAGGCTATGCCAAAGCTCAATATTATAACACATCTATAATTCATGCTTCAACCTCCGCAAAGCAACGTTTACACAAACCAGTTGGTTACTTGCCTCAGTTGAAATATACTAGAAAGTAACCTACCTGCTCTACTGGCCTCATGCAAGGCCACACTAAAAAAACAGGCCGTAATGCTCGTCAAGCATGACGTCACGATAGAAGACGGCAATGACGTAATTTTGGCGTTTGTGATCAGCTGCTTGTTTTAATCTTTCATTGGAAAATAAATAAATAAGTACTTATACGTCATAGCCGTCTTCTATCGTGACGTCATGCTTGACGAGCATTACGGCCTGTTTTCTTAGTGTGGCCTTGCCTCATGTAGACCCAATCACTACTGTATGAGCAAATACATTAAAATTGTATGAATCAATTCAAAAACTGTGTTCCAAAAATGTAAGATGAGAGTACTTACACAAAGATGTAGGACCATCAGAGAGCTAGCAACAAAACAAACAATAAACACAAGCGGCAAAACCAAACATCTGTCATGCTTCATGGTATGAATTGATAATTCCCGTTGGTGATTGAGATGATGCAATTAATCAATACAACCTAAAAAACGATGGTTCTAAAATAAATGGTTTTCTTAATTCGACTCATAGTAAAATGTTTGAATCTTCGATGATCCCAACTGCGACCCAATTTCCCTTTTATGAACTCCAAAAAATGATAAAAGCCAATAGAAAACGTACTTACATGGAGTAGTTTAGCCTCAGTCTGATTCGAAAATTGTTCTTGCACCGTTACTTTGTATAGTAGGGATAAATGTTTTTCATAATACACTGGGATTAAAAAGATCACAGAAAAATTATTTTCAAAAAGACACTTGTCTTGGATTAGTAATTTCTTTTAAATCTATCACTTAGAGTAAAATAAGTAGGTTGTTAATTGTAGAATGAATGAACCCAAGGAATCGGTAAATATTATTTTAAATGTTGATCAATTACCTGGAGATAATTTTACATACATTTTTTAAAGTTGATTTTTGTAGAATTTCAATTTCACTAGAATAACAACGTGTAACAGCAAAATAAATTAACTGTAAACATCTGAGATTCACCTGATTCTTTTAACACTAATATTGAAACCCCGGTCTGACAGGCCCACGGGAATTTTCAAAAACGCATGTTGGCAACACTGTTTACTTCATTATGGTGTGAGTAGCCTCCGGATTGCGAATAATAACTATGATAGTGGTTTAAATACCTTATTCTTGCAATCCAATTGTTGTCTTCACAACTAGTTTCAACCTGCTAGGAGGTCATCATCAGGTGAGCACAAGGATGATATTACTTCATATGAAGGTCGTCAGTAACAGTTTTTTCACATTCACACAAACACACGACGAATAAACACATAGTGCGCACACATATACGGCCGATAAAAACATTGAACTCGACAAGCGGACCCGTGTTGATGATGCGGAAGTTGCGTCTAGACTGTAGGGTAAACAGCTGGTCAAGCATCACGCGCATTTTCTTATCGCTCGTCGGTTCCATTCCCATTGTCTCTGCCCTCCCCTTCCCTCTCCAGTATTTCTATTGCAGTGTTGTATATGACGTTTGAATTAAAATATAGTTGGTCGTTTAAAACATTATCCATGTCTGATTTGACGGCTCTATATATCTCGAATTCTTCCAGGGTGTTAATTTTAAACTTGTCCTGTGACGTATGTAAAATTTCCATGTTTTCATTAATGCTGCTGTAATTATGCTGATGAGTAATTAAATGTTCGGCAAAGGTTGAAGTTTGTTTTGAGGTGGTCTTCTTTGGTACGTGCTCCTTAAAGCGTTTGGAGAAAGAGCGGGAAGTTTGGCCTATGTAATACTTATTACAATCTGAACAGTTGATTTTGTAAACACCACTTTTTTCATATTTAAGTTTAGTTGTATTTGGTCTTTCTTTCAGAAGTGGTCCCAGATTGTTTTTTGTTCTAAAGGATACTGTTATGTTATTTTTCCCCATTAATGATTTGAATTTATTACTAAGACACGAATTATAGTCAGCTGATAAGAACTTTTTATTTTGGTTCACTCTTCAACATCATAAAACACATTGCCGTCTCCAATGGATACACGACCACGTTAATAGATAAATTAATTTTGAAACACCAAAACAAAACAGAAAGAGTGAACCAAAATAAAAAGTTCTTATCAGCTGACTATAATTCGTGTCTTATTAATAAATTCAAATCATTAATGGGGAAAAATAACATAACAGTATCCTTTAGAACAAAAAACAATCTGGGACCACTTCTGAAAGAAAGACCAAATACAACTAAACTTAAATATGAAAAAAGTGGTGTTTACAAAATCAACTGTTCAGATTGTAATAAGTATTACATAGGCCAAACTTCCCGCTCTTTCTCCAAACGCTTTAAGGAGCACGTACCAAAGAAGACCACCTCAAAACAAACTTCAACCTTTGCCGAACATTTAATTACTCATCAGCATAATTACAGCAGCATTAATGAAAACATGGAAATTTTACATACGTCACAGGACAAGTTTAAAATTAACACCCTGGAAGAATTCGAGATATATAGAGCCGTCAAATCAGACATGGACAGTGGCGGTTCTAGGACCTTGTCAAGGGGGGGGCTACCGGGGGGCTTGGGGGGTGTGGAGCACTCCCCAATAATGTAGGGGGGTCCGGGGGAAAATTTTGAATTTTCAAAGCCGTTGGGTGACTTTCTACAGCCAGTTTTAACGTCTAGAACTGTGTGCAAAACCTCCCATTTCCCCATTTTTATATTTCATGAATAAGTAGACATTTTTAAAACTAAGTATGACGATTGCATTCATAAAATCTCAAAACATATTGTAGGCTACGGCAATATCGTCCTAAAAGCTGTTTACTGACTTTCTAAAGCCATTATTAATGTCTATATTTGTGTCCAACTGTCCAAAAACCTGCCATTTCACCTGTTATTTGTCTTTTTCATGAGCAAGTAAGTAGACATTTTAAAAATCAAACTATGACGAACTTGCATTCATGAATTTCAAAACATAGGCCTACTGTAGACTACGAAGCCATATATCCTAAAAATAAGCCGTTTGGTCACTTTTATATGGCCATTTCTAACGGCTAGAACTGTGCTCAATAATTATCCTAAAACCTTCCATTTCACCTTTTATATGCTGTTTATATGTCATGCAAGCAAGTAGATACGTTTTTTACACTTATGTTTTTCTACAGTCCATTTCATAGATCTGTCACAATATGTAGGCTACAGTATCGAATTCAGTACCGGTAATAGCATTGACTATTCAAAACTTTAACATTAGTGTTTATATAGTGAATGGTAAAAAGGCTACTGGTGCTACCGCTGATTGCTGATTGATGCCTGTGGCCTGTGTAAAGTTAGTGGCTAGCAGACAATTTGACAACTATGGAACATCAGGAAATCAGCTGTTTCCCCGTCTTTGCTCGCGCGCTCGGCGCTCGCCTTTGCCCTAGCATGTCAACAGCTGACTGCTGTAAAAATTGGATGATGCGTATAACTAACTTTCCATTGCGTAATATTGTTTTATTTGCGGTGCTATTGTCCACAAAGTTTATCTATGTGGAACTTAATACTACTCCTGCCATCGCTTATTAAGTCTACATTGATAAAATCTACATTGATGTCTGTTTTATGACATTGCGTGTTTTAAGGGCGAAATGTACGTTTAAATTTATTTTTCCAGGGTCCAAGGGGGGGGCTTTAGCCCCTGTAGCCCCCCCCTTGGAACCGCCACTGGACATGGATAATGTTTTAAACGACCAACTATATTTTAATTCAAACGTCATATACAACACTGCAAGAGAAATACTGGAGAGGGAAGGGGAGGGCAGAGACAATGGGAATGGAACCGACGAGCGATAAGAAAATGCGCGTGATGCTTGACCAGCTGTTTACCCTACAGTCTAGACGCAACTTCCGCATCATCAACACGGGTCCGCTTGTCGAGTTCAATGTTTTTATCGGCCGTATATGTGTGCGCACTATGTGTTTATTCGTCGTGTGTTTGTGTGAATGTGAAAAAACTGTTACTGACGACCTTCATATGAAGTAATATCATCCTTGTACTCACCTGATGATGACCTCCTAGCAAGTTGAAACTAGTTGTGAAGACAACAATCGGATTGCAAGAATAAGGTATTTAAACCACTATCATACTGTTTACTTGGTAGATTCCATTCCCCCAATACCTTCCCCCTTTTCCTCCCCTACCTATTGATATATCGTTTGTTCATTTTGCATGGGTGCCGTGACCTTGACAGGTCGTCTGTTCATAACATGTCCGTCTCAGAAGCCAACACAACGTTAAACACAACGTAAAATACAACGTTAGTGTATTTTAAAGCGGGGTCTCACAGACCGAGGGTTTCGGTTTGTGTGTTTCTAAGCAAAGTCCATTATTTTTCAAATGGGGTCTCACAGACCGGGGGTTTCGGTTAACACCAGCCTATGTGGGGTTTCGGTATTAGTGTTAAAATACCTAGTAGAATTTTAATGTGAACAATTCGACTTGTTGGCATAAAAGAAAGAATGTGGTTTGTTTCAGATAGACTTTCAACGAATGAATATATTTTATTAGTTACAATTTAAGTAGCAAAAGTCCATCATATACATTTTAACAGTTAAAAACGAGTCCTCCATCTATCTTGATATGCGTCAAGCCACCTCGGAAAACCTAAAACACCATTTTTAGTGAAAATTATCTTGTCTTTATTTAAGTGAGAATTTTAATTGTAAAAATTAGATTCATCTGAAACTTTCTTAAATGGATTAAAGAAATCAAAATGTTTATTGTCCATTATGTGCAATACAAAAGACTAATAATTTGAATGTTTGGACCTAAAAAAGTATTCAAAATTTTGATGTAAAAACCTACCATTTTATGTCTAACTATTTGAGCCTATCCCAATTAAAGTTCCTCCATTGTTCAAGTTCGTCTGAAAAAGAAAAACATTGCGTCTATAACCAATTGAATTGTTGTGGTACGGTACTAAAAAATTCTGTCAGGGCTCAGCCCAACAGGCCTTTATTTGAACAAAAAAATCCATACATATAAAATTAAGACATAAACGGGAAAATTTATTTTAGAAATTTTTGAGACTGCAAATAATACACAATCCATGCGTAGATAGATGAAAATAAAAACACAAAAACTGAAGTAACTTTTACGGAGACTGCAAAGTACAAAGCAAGAATGTTGAGCAGTCTAAGAGAGGGATTATTAACTCGGTTGGATACTTTAAAGGTCATCTTAACATCCGTTATGAGGTTTTCATCTGTAATTTACTTTGTTGATTTCATCCCTACATTATTACAACATACAACTGTATCCCGAAAGTAAATAACGTGAACAAGTTAATAATCAACCCGCACGACAGTGTTTGGTCTTACCACGAGCGTCGTCAGATTGGCTGGAGTAAGACTTGTCCTCCAAGCTCCTCCCTACCTCCCTGATGGACACTGTCTCTTTGTCAAACTGAGGGGTGGGTGAAGGAGAGAGGGGAGGGGATGGTTTGTCACCTTCAACACATCCTTCGGCCTGGCGTCGGTAGCCTTCGCAACACTGGTATGTGGTAGACAACGTCTTGGTTTGCTGCGGTGTGCTGATGCTGGGGTAGAAACAAAACACATTATTGTAAAGAAATCTTGGTGTAAATTTAGAAACGTTGAAAGGAAACAATAATTGTTCCTATTGAAATACAGTAAAAGCCTGTAATGGAACTTTCAATGATCCAGCATGAGTCTACAACGGTTTAAACAATTTTTCAAAGCTATTTTAAACCATATTAGCATGTTCGGAGAAGTCAGGAGCTACTAGCCGATATAAGGAGGGAATGAGACATCGGTTGCTCTTTGTAGGATTTAAGGGGGGTTCCATTTTTTTATATACTGACAGTTACTAAATTAAGAGAAAAAAACATAATTGTATGCAGTCCATCGAAAGTCCCTAATGTGCTTGATTAGCCTAGTGACTACTTTGTAGGATTGTTTTTCATTTTTGAATTTTCTTTGCCCCTGCTCATTGATATGTTGATATATATATATTAGACAGGGATGGTAGTATATATGCTTAGCTTTTGTAAAAAAACATGTAAATCTACTTTCTCAGTCCCCAATCATCACTATCAATTGGTTTTGGTTAAAATATTTATCTTTTCATCACATGGATCGACACAATCCACCCCGGCACAATCACCATCATGTTTGATATTAGGGAATTAAGCTAGTTGATTAGGATGCAGATAATTTTAATTCCACTTCAATCAGTTCAAATTTACACTGATAGTCAAGTATGTATGATTTCCTGAATATCCCAGAATCAAATTCTGACAAAAAAACATTATTACAAAATAAAATTTAAAAAAGTTAGGTCCTCTAACTTTTTTTATTTGATCTTAAATAAGTATTAGGTCCTATGCGTACTGAAATTGAAACACATAAATACTTGTTTCCAGAAATCTAAACAAATATTACAAATGGGATTAAAACTGCTGATCAACCCGTTACATACAAGGGTACATCTACGATTTCAATGATTCACCAAACTGGCAGGTTAAAGCCTCACAAGATAAACCAACTAGTTGGTGCATCAATATTTATTTCACTTACACAGTGGTACAGATGTATTTGCCCGCCGTCTGTTTGCAGTGCTCGAAAGTTCCGGTGCCCATGATCAAAATGTGCTTGTCTACTTCTGTCTTTTCGTCCTTGTTCTTCTCTTCCACCTTCTCGGACTTTTCAACACAGACGTTCTTGCTGTAAAAAATAAAATTGGTTAATTTTGTACTAGTTTACTTGATTTTTAAATACCAAGTTTTTAAGACAAAACATAGTTGGTCACAATAAGTAACATAGCTGTAGAAAAGAAAAAATATATTTCTTACGTAGTAGATAGTACACTAACAATCACAGTAATTCACACTCATCTTTCCAGGATTTCTGTAATGTCCACTATCACAATTAACTTTTTGTACAATTTTGATTCAAGGGCTGCTGTAGATTTTGCACTTAAAAATGTTTGTCTGTTTTTTTATGTTTTTTTACGCTAGGTTTAGAAATAACTATGTATTATTTAAAAACTATTTAGATTGAGCAGAATTATAATGCTTTTAAATATACTGTATACCGATCAGTTTGTATGAAAAATGGAAATTTAGTTATTTTGATAGTGAGGTATGCAAGTTCTTACTTGTTTTAAATTGTTTACATCTACTGGATAATATAAAAAATATATTTTAATCACAATATAGAAGTTGGAAAGGAAAGTTTAGTAACAGAGAACCTTTAATTATTTCCTGCAACAATATTTCTTGCATGACATAAAATATTCCATTAGCAATTATACTTTGCGGAAACAATCCAACACCTTCCACACAGCGTGGGCCGTGAGTCGTGGTACTGCGCAGTTGCCAGCCCTGACACGGTTAACAAGGAAGCAGCGTGACGAGGGGAGAGGTAATTGAACGACCTCCGGAGTAACACGTTGCCAAACATATCACGGTTGAAACGATGCAACTACCCCAAGTGATAAACTTAAGACACATCTTATCGGCGAATAGTGTCGATTGTTTTTTTTTTCAAATTGTCCTAACCCTGGTTTTGTTATGTGTAACATTCACTATATCTAATGTAAATAATGTAGGATGATTCAAACTTCATTTAGAATAATAATGTTGTAATATTTATACGTAAGGATTTTTTTATTGCTATTGATGCAATTGTATAGAATAATGACAAAAAAATGTATCTACATGAAATTAACAAATAGTGTTTTTTAACCAGAGAGAAAATCAAAATGAAAATTTAAATCGGTCCCGGACCCATGAGACCTACAGTAGTAGCCCTATATGGAAAATTAGCTAATAACCTTTTTCTTTGTTAAACATTTTTAATAACTCATCTATTGATTATGACATTGTAATTATAATATCTTAATATGACATAATTATGACATTGATTATGACATCTTGACTTCTCATCACATTGTAAAATATAAAGCTTGTGTTTATGTGTTGCTGGTGACGTTAAGCATCAGTATCTACTAAATTTTTTGCCCTGTTATTTTCAGGTACCTATTTTAGTTATGAATATGCCTCCGCCTCTAAATTTTTTTACTACAGTTACTTTGTAATAGTTTGCTATCACATTGAACTGTGCTGGTGACAAGTGCAGAGGAGAGCAGTTAGCAGGGTACACGGAGCGTAACAGTTATTGTGAAAGCAGCTACTGACAGTGACGTCTGTCGGGTCACTGGTCTAACTGTACTTCCCTCTCACTTGCACACCTGCAGCTGCATCTGTTTCTCTCATTCCTAAGTAATAAATCAGCTGTTAACAACTGTTAATCAGCTGTTAGCTAAGCTTTTAACCATGCAGGACTCACTGTAAATCGGAAACACACAGACTCAAACAAGATTTTTTGACTGGGATTATTTTAGTATTAAATTAGTAATTATTTTACAAACATTTATAAAACAGTGGGATATGTAAATGGATATTTACCTCTTAAAATAATGTTAAGATGTATTTTTTTTTAAATTGTTGATAAATACTAATGAAAATAATTGCATATTGAAATGTAATTGAGTTACTGCAGACCATTAGGTAAAACAAGTCTAAGTTAGACGGAAGAGGAAAACTTTTGAAATTTGTACTACAGTAAAAGAAAAAAAAATATTTTTCAAAGAGTTTTTTAGCCTCAAATGTCAACCATTTTAAGAACAATGATTTTTACACAAATTTTTAAGCAGAATTTCTTACTTGCAGTTACAGGCAATTTCATCAATAGTTATGGGCTGAAAGGCATTAGGCCTACTTATGAAATTGAAATTACTGATTAAAATTTTTATAATTTGTATAACCCTGGAAATGAAAATAGTTTTAAAATATTTTGAACTCCAAATTAGTTTAAATAAAATGTATAGGATTCTAGTTCTGCATTTCTGCACTCATGATCAAACAAACTGGTAACACACTAAAACCATCACTCACAAACAGTCTAATGGACCAGTCATTGAGCCCGTTGACTAAAAGTTTGATAAAAAGTACCCACCCGGTGTTTTCTATCAGTATAGTCCTCCCACGTTAAAATTCAAATCATCCAGCCAAAATGTTTGGAAAATAGTTTGGTATGAAAAGAATGCTGGGGTTATAAAGTAGTAATTTTTTTTAATGTAGGGATTTTTCTTCGCTTAAGAAGTTCATCCCCTAACTGTTATCTGTAAATGTTGTTTTACATGATCAAGCATAAGGAATAATAATACTGAATAAAAATAACTTGAAGTTTACTCACCCTCTCCACCAGGGCTCAGGCAAGTTGTTGAAAAATCCAAACGAGTTCATAAACGAACCTAAACTGAAGTGGGGTTTCAATGTCTGACTTACTCCACCTAAACAGTAAAAAAATCAAAATTAAGACGAGATATCTTGACTGACACTGTTAAATAGTTTAGGTATCATCGTAAACTTAACTGAGCATTTTTCTATAATTTATCAAATCTTTTATGGAAAATGTAATTCCTAATTTTGGTTTACAGTTTTGCTACCCGCCATAACTATTTTCCAATGCAAAAACTACCTCCAACATTTCAAAATCTCATACTTTCTTTAAGCAACCCTATAAAATCTTTAGTCAAGTCTAGAAAGATAAGTCCCTATAAGGCTGTGTAACACAGTATGGATCATTTATAATTTTTCAATCTGGAGACCCTTTAGAGGATTCAAAATGAGAAATTAATCTGCAAACCTTTTGTATGAAAAGGATGTTTTTGCTCACCATTTTGAGGCATTTGTGGAGCGTTTTCTGTGACCTCCTCAGGAGTTGTGGCCTCTGGTTGTGTTCGGACGTCATCTTTGATACCTCCAGGACTTGTGAGGACCGTCACATCAGGAGTGTTGTCCGATGGTTTGGCCTGAAATCAAGCAACGTTTTTACACTGAAACTTGTTTAATGTGATTTTTCACTATTTGTAACGATCCACTTGGTCCATACAGATGTGTCTTTGTTCTTTGGAGATCGTTAATCCATCTTCATACAATCTCATGACAGACAATTCATTGTGTCAGTTTTAGTCACTTTATACAAAAAAGCTGGATTTTAGTCACTTACAAACCTTTAACACTGGCACCTCGTCTTTCATTCAATTTGATTTCATTTTAATTAAATTTTGTAATTGATTTAAAGTGGATGCCAGTTTGTTCCTGAGCTAGGTCAGTAGCTTTTTTATTCATTTATACCCAGCTGTCTGGTCATATGACTTTCATTAAATTCTCCTGGCTAAGGAAACATCTGGTCTTAGCTGTAACAAAGCATAATCTCCATTTAATACTCCTCTAACATCTTTGTTTTAAAATACACACCATGTTGCATCACACGATACTTAATCTATAATATAATTCTGTCTTTTGGCTTAACAGTTCATTATTTTTCTTCCATGATATAAAAAAATGTTCCTTCCATACCTCCTGATCGTCTGCAGCCAGCCCCTTGACATTTTCTGCTATTTTTTCACTCAGCAATGTGTTGACTCTGTGAGCAGCCTGTTCCAAGGTCTTCATCCTAGGAAATAAAAATAATTATGAAAGGATTAGAATTATACATTGTCAGCTTAGAGCCTTATCGGAAAAGGTAAATAAATACATGCTATATGGAGTAAAGTCATGCATGTGCAAGAAGTAGCTATTGGTAGGCCTACTACTGATATGCGAGAACTGAATGTAGTTACAGCAAAAAAAAAAAAAAAAAAGATTTTCAAAACCATCGCTACGATCCTGTTGAAGGTAATTAATTAGAGTATAAAATTTGAATGGGAAATAGGATTGAATTACTAGAAGTGTACCAGTAAAAATAGGTCTTTGATTCATTACGTGTTGTACATATATTTTAAGATATGAAAAGTTCAGTGGTATTTTTTTTTTATTCACTGTTATTAGACATTTTATTAGCGCTGTGTCAGTAAAAAAAAGTAACTTAAATTTGTTTTATTTCCCTGCTAATTAAGCTTTTTAATTACTCTTGTCACTTGCTTGGCCTGAATAGATTGAGAAATTTATTCTGTTTCCAAAAATAGAATAAAGCAATAAAGAGTAGTAATCTCAGATGAGATCAATAGAGTGATACGCTTGTCTTAAGTTATGCAACTGAACACACACTAGTTACATAAGCACATAGCTACAATTTAAAATGTGACCATCCACTTTAAGATTATTAGGATTGGATATTTTTACTCTCTAACAATGTGAACAAAGGACTGAAGTTTTAAAACTGTGACACACTATCAATCTTTTCCCCGATCTAGACCCCAAATCGAGCAGGGAGAAGGGAGGTCGAAGAGAGCATGTTTGATAGTGTGTCAGCCGGTCGGTACACCGATCCAGATGGCGAAACAGACATCAGGCCGAGCAGGGAGAATAGTAGGCGGTTTTTGGTGAAAGATCAAAGAAAAGATCGGTCCGATGTACGGAGGGATATACGATAGTGTGTCACAGTATATTTTAGCCCCTTGCACCGTCACGAGCGCCGTACCGAGCAGCCGCCAATTATTAAAATTATCATTCTGTAACATGTTAATTCATTTTTTATTATTACTGCCCCTGCTCTCACACACGCTCTCCATCTCTCTATAACCTCCCTTTTGCCGCGCTCGTCTTCTTGTCTTGATCTTGTTCAGGGAAATGATCGGATTAAAATTTTGCTGATATAGAAAAACATATAAAAAATAACAATGTGATTGATTTGTATAATCTTTGTTCATTGTTTAAGTTTTGTATTTTATCTCATTAATATTACTACTTTTATACTTTATATACTTTTTATACTCTACTTTTATTTCACACCAAAGATTTAAAATCATACCTATTAGAACCCAATAAAAGATAAAACTTATTTTAGTAGGATAAACTTATATGTTACAAAAATAGGTTTTATGTGTAGTCAAGCTAAAGGAAACAATTCTAATTTTCAGATATAGATTTCTATAGCATTTATACAGGTATGAATGTTGTTTGTTAGGTAATGGAATATCTTGCCTAGGTATGTCGTTGTCGCACATTATACTGCTGCGTTATTATTTGTCACGTTAACAAAGTTTGTGTAAAGGAGTGATCTAAGTCTTACTTATGAAGTTCTAAACTGAGAAGTGTCGAGTTATACGAGTTAATTTGTAAGATTTTGCTGTGTGTTTTTTTTTTTTGTCAAAGTGGTGAGACAGAAAGTAAATTTGCCCAAGGTTTTCTCATTATTTTAAGCACTCATAGAGTGAATACTTAAATACCTTTACAATATGATTCATAACCAAAGAGACACTTTCCCGCTCATTTGTTTTTCATGACTTGCATTTTCATTGTTATTGCAATCAGCTGTTTTCATTGTTGGAACAAGAAAAAGTTAAAAGGGTTCATTAGAGGAGGTTTCACATGCAAATCAACAGCCTTGTATTTCTTAAGCTAAGTTAGTTATTTCGTATTTTTACTTTATTGAGCAACTAATTAGCAAAGTAAGTTTATAATTTGAGGATGTCTTCACGATTAGTTGCTTTTAAAATACTAAAATAAAAACAGCAGTTGGTAATTTGTTGTTAAACTTGTATGTTCTTCTGAAACCCCACCATTTGGGCTAAATCCTTCTTCAATGCTCTATTTTAAATTTGTTTAAATCATTCTAGTTACTTAATGGCTTGGAAGTGGTATAGGCTAAGTTAACTCTGTATTAAACAAAATTTTAAGAATAATATGGTTGTTCTGGTTTTGCTAAAATAGGTTTGTATATACAAAAGACATCCAGTTTTAAACTTTCAGAAGTTATAAATTCATTAAATGAAGGGTGTAATGATAGAATGCAGAGAAAGTTTTAAGAAGCTTCTAGAAATCACACCTATTGAAAATGCCACCTCAACTGGGGTAACAGCTCAGAGATAGGAGCCATTGTTGGATTGGTTAAGTTTGAATTTAAAAAACCAATTAATTGTTCATAAAAACTTGTAACATTATAAACACGAACACAACTTTTTCAAAAATGTAATACACATTTTGTATCTAAATAATTGTTGTAACAGGGTAACAAAAAAAATCCTCAAATGTGTATAAAATTAAGTATTCATTTTGGGCTTGGTAATTTAAAATTGGTATTATTGAGTTTATTTTATTGATACATACTGTATAAAAAGTTAAGCGTAAAAGTAGTTGTAGCAAAGTGACAGGTCAATGGCTAAGTATTATTGTGCATAAAATTTATTACAATAATAAACAATAAACAAACAAAAAGCAATTATTCAAGGACACTATCACAGGATCGTTTTTCACATTACTTGAAACTATAGATCTATTGGTTTTTTTTTTTTTAATTATCACTTAGATTTAATCCATGGGTGATTAACTTGATCTGAACCCAGGACTCAGGATCGAAGCCCCACGCTCTACCGCTTGCCCAGCTCGCTCCAAAAAACCAGGCTTTACTAGGATCCTGCGATTCTAAGTGTAATTAAATATTCAATAAAAATTAATCCAAGCCACTTACTCTTCCTGGAAAGACTTCCATAGCTGGGAATTCGTTGGGAGATCTCCAAACGGATCCTGACATCTGACGAAACCTAACCAAACCATCAAACAAAGGAAACCGTAGTTAAATCGGCTTTCCGACAGCCTTGACATGTTTATGAAGAAGCCTCAACTAAACAGCAAGTAAAATAGTCTCACAACAAATAAAACGTCGTAAAATAACGCTTTGGTTATCTCAAAGGCAAACAACACTTTTTAACCTCAACGCCGGCACAGCTGATTGTCAAACTCTGTCAAATGGGGAGGAGAGACCTCTATATATAGACTCTCGGACAAATCCCGCCAGGCAGCGCGCGCATCTCTCTAGAATATTCCAGTCAATGAATATTTCAATGACCGACATATTTATTACAATAGGAAGCTGTCTGCTGTCTTTGTTTTGTATTATTGGTAAATGTGTATTTTGCTAAGTAAAACTCTGTTTGACTTAAGCGGATCACTCAAACGAGAGACGGAATTTAAAATCACCGTGAAGACTTGCTGGAGTGGGGGTAGTCAGATCGATTGTTGAAAACAGCTGATTTCAAACAACGCTTTGTTGTTGCTTAGTCTAGCAGACATAATCATTGGCTATTAATGCTAGTACATGTATATCTCCTTCTATTGCAAAATCATAAGTACGTTTCATATTGGGGGAATTATTGACCTTAGTGTGGAAAAATTCTGTTCAGTAGATCTATATTAAGAATAATAAATCTATTAGGAGTGTGTTTAATGTGTGATTAAATTCAAGGATGTCTACGGGAAATATACAATTTGGCGTGTTCCAATTCGGTAATGCTCTTAATTTCGTACGGCATGCGATATTTTTCATTGAATTGTGTGTGTTAATTATTTGTTTATAACTAAAGAAGAATATTTTATTCAAAAGTGTTTAATAGTTATCATTATCATGGGCGAAATTTTAATCATTCCGTCATATCTACATGTTTATGTACGGGGTATGTTATAGCACATCAGCAAGGGCGGTGTTCAGGAACAGAAGTTTGTGTGAATTCTCTGTTTAGTGATTAGTCTTGGTAGATTATTCTCATTCCACCAAAAATCAAATTACAAAAAATTCTCATACGCTTAATGTACTATTTAACCTGTTGTATTAAAGTTTCCTTAAGTTAATGTCGAGATTATATTTCTTTATAATGTATTTGATAAGTAGCTGACGTTAGGATTTGAGATTTGTAATTATCAGTTACACAAATTGTGCTAAGATACGATATAATTTAAATTGAGTTTGTCACCTACATTTTTAGTTTTTAGTTGTAGAATGACGTTTTGAACAAATCTCAATACGATTTACCAGTTGAGCGTTATTTGGCTATTCTTAGCAATTTACTTAAAAAAATTAAACAAGTAATCAATGGATTTGTTTCTATCACTAAATTCGGACTCATTCGTATTTTCATTAGTCAATCTTAAAAAATATTATCTACCATTATGAATTTCTCTAAATTAAAACAAAACACTTTTCACCCACACTTCAAATAGTTCATAGATATAAATAAATGTGCCATTTGACTTTGTGAACTGTTTGGAATATTCTAGACTGCTGGAGGAAGGTTAGGTTAGGGAAAGCCAACTCAACTGTCAGCTGTTCAGCTGACCTGTCATATGGTTATTAACAATAGGTGATTGACACATGAAGCGATGGCCTACATATCAAATAGAATTGGAAATACGTTTTCTGATTTGTTCACTTATTTATTCACATGTCGCAACAGCTACAATTTATAATCCTAAGGAACAATGCATTGTGTATGGGCATCTATATAACATGTGTTGTGTTAACTCGAGGTGTTTATATTTTTTTCTGACATAAGCTCCTTTTTACAATATGGTGCTCAGGACATACTATGGATAAAACATTTTCCTTCGATTTATCGCTCTTATGGATCGGTTGTAGATATGGTTTGTTTTCGTTATTTTAATTTGGGTGGTTTACTATTCATTTTTCGTAACTGCAACAAAAAACAGCTGTTTTTAAAACTTGTGTTACGGCTATCTATCTATATATTAATAGGCAAGCATGTTTCTTTAAAACCTTTTTTCTCAGCTCCTGTGCATCGTAGGTAAAATCTACGCATACCGTTAGAAAGCTATTTTCCTCTAGGTGTGCAGAATCCCTTTATAAATTTAAATAGGCTCAAAGATAAGCACGAAAAATGAGTTTAAAAATTTGAAAAAATTAACATGGATCTTATGCGTTGCCATGGTGACGAAATAACAACGAAATATTAACAGAAAATCAAAACAAATGGAAGAAACTCCAATCACATGTTTTATTTACAGTGTGGGGTGAAAATAGATAAGTGAGTACAGTACATTAGATATTTTTGGTCGAGTTTCGACCACTGGACGACCTCTCGTACGAGTTAAAAGTAGCTCTTTTTCTTCATAGAAACAGCTGTTGTAAACTTGATTGTAAGTGAAAGTGTATCGAAAACATATTATATTGATTGTTTAAATCTGTATTATAGCTTATTGTTGCAGCCTTGTCAATAGTATCGATAGTATAATGTGCACTATCATATACTATTGGATAGGCAAAGACACTATACTAACACAATCGTAATAGAAGAACTTTTATTTGAATCACTTTATAAACAGCTGGTTGTTTGCATAATCAAAATTTAAAACTTGTTGGGTGTCGTTTTGAGATGTGATCTTTCCATGAAAATTATTTTCGTTTTGTTACTTAGTTTGCTGAAGTAATGGTGCAATATGACGACAAATATAGTTAATCGCACGCGCAAAAAGTGCGTTTTCAAATTTCATCCCTTTCATTTTCCCAGTGATAACTCGAACTTGTGTCGAAAAGAGTCATTTTACGCCCTAGTGATGAAATATACTATTACGTTTTAGCCGCTTTAAAACTGTTACAACCAAACAGCCTCTGGCATAGTTACCATAGTGTAGCGCACAATGTGAATTTAATTCTAAAATATAAGAGTAACCAGTCAGCATCAGTGCGCTTGAAACGCGCAAAAAGAACACACGAAAACTGGTGTCTATGGTTCTGTTCTATGATGTTCAATAGCATTAAAGTTACAAGGATTACCAACAGGGTGCAGCACTATTATTTCTTTTACATTTATGACAACAGCTAATTTGCAACCAAAAGGTGAGTGAGCATAGCGAATGAACTTCAACCTGGAGGCGAGTTAGCGTAGTGAACGAGCTAACCTGAAGGCAAGTGAGCGTAGTGAACGAACTACGACTTCAACCAGGACGTGATTGAGCCATGCGATCGAGATCATCTTGAAAATTAAGAAGTTAAACGGGGCAAAGCCCGCGGATTACAGCTAGTAACATACATACGCTTGATCTTTATATTAACGACAACGTAACTTGGCCTAAAAAAGAGGTCTAGTCCTGTAGCCACTCTAAAATCACTGCGAGTATCAACGGATACAGAGTATTAAAAGTAAACAATCTTGGCTTTGAGTCGCAAACCCTTCCATTAGTTTATCATTTATAAATGGTACTTTAATTCAACTGAAGTGAAATTTGTTTTTTGTACGTTCATAATTCAATATTGTTGATTAATAAATACACCTCTCTAGATTTAGGATCAGAGACACCTAGTGGTGACTAGACGAACTGTTGCGTGCCTTAGTTAGAGTGAAACACGTTGGTAGCGCTAGTGTAGTTGTGGAGCACAGTACGTTGTCGATATTTACGCGAACACCAAAATGGCCCGTGGTTGACAACGGAACTGACTTAATATTTCAGTAATTTAAATTATATCGAGGTACCGGTAATTAAATTTGACATAAAGATCACGTGGTATATTTTGTTCATAACATAACAACCGTCAACCCTCCAATTGATTCGCTTAACTCAAAATATTAGAAATAAATACAGCAGAAATACACTAAATTTATCTTAATGTCTAAAATAGATAAAGGATGAAGCAGTTTTAGAAATAAGTGGACTGTATTTTTACTGATTGGATTTACTTTACTTAAAAAGGTTAATTGACATGTCCGTAAACGGTTTTGGAAAGATGCTGGAAATCCTCAATACAGTAATAATAATGAACAATCCAATAATAATGAATAATTTGCTTTTATGGATGGACTATTCAAAATCGACGAGTGTAACAATTTTATGTTCTAGTAGACATTTAGATCAGATGTCGTTAATATACAGGGTGTTTCAAAATTGTCTTTACATATTTTGCGAACTTGTTCCTTGGGCTAAGACAAACATAAAATGCCGTATAAGTATGGGCCTAAAATACCTAGATTTCTGTTTGTCGGTCTGTTCGTGATTTGTAAGAATTATTTTATATCTTGGTAGTATAAATCAGTAGGTATTTCAAATGTTGCAATATCGGGTTAAAATTTAAAACATGCATTTCCCGCTATGTATCGGAAGGTAATAAAAAATCCCATCTCATCCTCGTCCATCGCTAAGCGAATCCAATCGAAATCGGATAATTTTTGCCTTAGTCATCAAGGTAAATAACACATGATATATAGACATACATAAATATGTATATAACTTCAAACTGATGGCCAGTTCGACCCCTGGGGACCTGAAAACGAAAAGGTAAATCGGTCTCGGGTCTAGGTCTTACCATAAAATATACGGAAATGGCTTACCCTATATATAAAGTTTGCTTTTTAAAGGGACCAAAAATTAATTATTTTATGGTTAATTTGAATAAAAACAACGTTTTGTACAAAGCGAAATAAATCTATTATTTATGAAATTCTTCATTATGATTGTGCAATAATAGTAGGCTTTGTCATAAATAATAGTTTGTCATAATAGTTTGTCATAAAACCTGATTGCTTTTACTCGAGTTATCGTGATAACTAGAGTTAGGTGCCTTGTTGACAATGTTGTTGTTAGTCTATAATAAGCCAATCATCGGTCTCAGGTAAGAGACACGACTCTCGGCTTTTCAAATAATTGTAAAACCATAAAAAGGTGCGACAGAACACTTTGAGTGTTAAGTTAACATGTCATATTTGCAAGCTAAACAAAAATCACTGCGAGTATCAACGGATACAGAGTTTTCATAGTAAACAACCCCTTGCTTTAAATCGCAACAATTTACATTAACTTATCACTTATAAATCGTAGTTTCTTTTAGTTTAAGCAAAATTTGTTTTTTGTGTCTTGATAATTTGTTATTATCATTTAATAAAAACACTTCTATAGATTTAGGCTCAGTGACACCTAGTGGTGACTAGACGAACTGTTGCGCACTTTAGTTACG